TCTCTCTCTCTCTTTCTCCTTCTCTCCTTCTTACCCTACTTTTAAATCCATTTTCTTGATTGTAAAATACAGGTAATGCAAGATCGTTAGTGACGCATACTGAAAATCACGCATTCAAAGAAGAAATTTCGTGGAAATGAAAAGACACATGCAGCTGCGTTCCATGGATCGTTTACGATGCCCGTTGCCCTTGGATGAGAGCTGATACGTCCTTCGGGCACGACCCCATTGTCCATGGTGAAAGGAATACGTGGACTCGATCTTCCGCAAAATAAAAAGGAGCCTCGGTGTGGTCACCCCTCGCGTGGCACGCGCCACGATCCACCTTTCTTTTCTCTTTTTTCGTCGCTTCGTGTAGCCAGCCGTCCCCTTTCAGATCCCTAGGATAAGGAATCCTCCCTACTGCGACTGGGGGGACTCTAGAATGTTACGGTTATTCGGTCTGCGTAAAGAGAAATAGAAGGAGAGCTTTCACGGCGCCTTTGATGTTTTCGACACTGTCGCACGATTCATTCAGCTTTCAAGTTTCTTCGCTGACATTGCCAAGAAATATAATCACGGAGGTGATATCGATTCATCTATGTAGAATGTAGAAAACGTGGTCTTAACGTGACTTGAATCTTGACTGAAATAAGATGAATGGAGTTTCGTTGAAATATTTTTAAATTTGATGATTGTACGATAGACTGAAAACTTTGAGAATTTGAATTCAGTTTACATATTTTAATTTTCCAAAGTATCGTCCCTTTAGAGAGAGAGAGAGAGAGAAAAAAAGATAAAATCTTGCGATTAAATAAATAAATGAGGTGAGAGGAAAAAGGAACGATGCGTTTCATTATTCTGCAATGCACCCTACTGGTTAAACATAGCATTTCAATATCGCTATTTCACCGGAGGCTGTTTTCCTCGCTGCTACCCTTGAGGATTTAAAGAAACTGGGATAAACGGCATCCCGCGTTGCACTTATTCCACAACCCGAATCGCGATTCGAACGTCGATGATTGAACGCATAAAGGAAGACAAACAACGAAACTCTCGGGGGAGCAGGTGAAAAAACTGCTGCTCTTAAGCCCCCGTCCGACCATCATAATTGCTCATGTACCAATTAAATTCGTCAAAAGAATAGTAGGATAAAAAAAGAAGTAACGTAATAGCCTTATTGTGTCGCTAATATTTCTTACAACATATCTCAAAAAAAAATATTTCGTGGTTAAAAAATTTAAATGACAAATAGAAAGTTAGAAATTTGAAATCCTTAAAAAGTAGAAAATGAGAGAATTATTATTTGAGAATGAACCTTGAAGAAATTTAAATTTGTGAAATTCCAATCTTTTAAATATTCTATTGATATTAACATTTGATTGGCTAATTTCTCACTTATTCGTGCATTCTATGAATACTCGTATATTATTAAAACAAGTCGATCAATGTGTCCACATAGTCATGAATAGCATTGTACACTGACCACCTCCATGCATCTTGAAGGAAACGGAGCTTCCTCGCTTAGGAGAGAAACGAGAAGGGAGCAAGAAGGGGCTCCGCGTTGGGGGTGGTTGATACAAGTGGGACATTGAAGAAAGGGGTTAGGTCCCATACGGTGACAACGGCAAAACTCGAAACGACGTCGTCGGACTTGGCTTCCGGCCATTTCCCAACTATCGATCCACGAAGCGTTACGACGAAGCTGCCCTACGTGCAATTATAGGTGTATCGTGTGTATAATACGACCCTGGTACGTGCATAACCGGGGGGTAGATCGCCGTCGGTGTACAAGGACGATCCCCGAAATTTGGCCGCGACACCGGCCAATCGCGAATTCTTCGATGGCCGTGAGAAGGATGCGCTATCAAGGATGACTGTACTGTTGCTTAAAACTGTTCCATCCACGAGAGTTCCAAAAACGGGTCAGATTCCATCCACCTAGACATGTTGCGATATAACCTATTTAGATAGGTATGAGTTATCAACGGACTGAAAAAATATTCAGAAAATTATTGAACTTATTTCATAAATGAAAATTGATGAAAAATTGGCCAAGTTTAAACGAGGTTTGAAACCTTGATATTTATTTCCGGCTTGAATCATTTTCTGGGTCTTCTTGTACAACGAGGCTAATATAATTAATAAAGTTTTATAAATTGCAATTTATAAAAATGAAGTTATCGTACTGTTATAACACGAGATATTTATTTAAATCGATACTTGAATATTGTATAGAGAAGATTAAAAGAATATAACACAACTAATAAAAGAATAAGAAAAATTGATATTAAAAAGGAAGTCAATGTCAATTGTGCAAGATGGCCCTTGACTTGTATCATAACTATATTTTAAATATTATAATTTGGAATTATTTACCCAATTATATTTGTAATAACATTTAGAAGGAATAATCAGTAACATTCAGTTTGAGAAGAGTTTATAGCAAGAATTAGTAGAACGCAGAATTTCAACTTTAATGATTATTTCTTGTAATATATTTTTGGGTGAAGCGGCGTGTAAGAAAGACACAGTTCACCCACCCTATGAATGCAACACAACGGTGCGTTTCCACGTATGCGTGGAATCGATAACTGGGAATTAGTCTGACAGGCTGTCTGCCAGAACCAAGTACGTGTATCTACGCGAAAAACCTTGCCAATCATGTTAAAGTAATTACATCGAGCAGGTGACCAAGTTAAATATAACTGGTATACACTTCCTGAATGAAAAACTCTTAGATTAATATTGTCTTCCGATATTTATATTTCTTGGTTCCTGAAATGATTCTCAGTATAAGAAATGATTGAACAACATTGGAGAACGAATGCTTTTATTTAAAACAGTCGATAATATCGTTTATTTTAGTTACCAAAATTTCCCCCTTGTCCATCCTATTTTTAAATTTTAACTTTTCCATTCAAATGTAAGTTCTTGTGTACATCTTATGGAGAATTCCATGTGCGTTAAAGTAATTAAAATAGGGATTAACGTTGTGCTTGAAATTATGAAACTCGCAGTATTGGCTGAAAATTAACGAACTTCGATCAATAGTTTAACCAACGGAAAATAAAATGATTTTGAAATTAGGTTATCATAACCAGTTCAGTTGTAAACGTTTACCTTTCTATTTTTCTACGAGCTCCACCTAAACACACACTATCATCTGCGTCGTAGCAGGCTGACATCTACATGAAAAGAATGCCAGACGACAGAAAGACAAACTACAGAACAAATAAAAATATGTTCAACACAAACTGCGTCGTGAAAGCCAGCGCGAGACCGAGATAAATAGAGGATCGCCGTAGTCGGTACCGAGGATCAATATGTCACAACCACGGTCACAAATATATAAAGCAATAAGCATACATGTAGCCGGTCTATACATACGTTAAACGTCTTGTACATTTCGTTCCGCCACGAATCCGCCAATCCCGCCAATCCCGTCACAAACCGCCAATTCCGCCATGAAATCATTTCTCGATTATTGATGATCGATTATCGAAAAATTTACATTTACTCAGAACACCATCGAAACCAACGTGAATATTATTCTTCGTTAATTTTGTTCTCGTTTAACGTAAAAAAACATTTTTCATTCGTAATAAAATTCACATAAAATTCGTTCGTCCATAAATATTTATTATTACAGTCGCAAATAAAAAAATTGTAAGTACATTCCATTTTAAAAACAATTCGATTAAGGAAGAATATATTTTATATCTATTTAATATTATTATCAAAAATTGATTTCTTTTTTTTTTTTTTTACCTTTTGCTATATAATAAAGAACAGCCAATCTCAATTTTTTAAAACTAAACATATCGATATTTTATTGATTGATTTCGCACGATGTGAGTGGCGCTGTGATCAGTACATGTTAAATGTCGCGCCCATTTTTCTTTCACGGTGAGAATTGAAAGTTTTTTGAACGGTTGAATTTTGTTATTAATTGTTAACGAATCAATTTTTAACATTAAAATTTCTTCCTCCAGTAGTGCGATTCAATTCAATCCGATTTTAACGTCAAGATATTAAAATGGATTTCACAACACATAACATCCAGTATTCTCGCTACAATGGTAAAACATAGAAAGGCACTTGGCAACCAAACTGGTAGGTACAACATACGATAAATATATCAACACTTTTTTCAACCGTTTTTTTTTTCTTTCAAATATTTTAATTAGATATAATTAGATATAAATATTTAACCAACGTGACGTTTGACATCGGTATAATAACCAAATAATAATAAACAAATTTCGTAGCTATTTCGAAATACAATTTAGATACACAATATAAAAATGATTAAATATCTAAATTTATAAATTTACGGATTTACAAAAAGTTATTAAATCTCAATTAGATACAAAATTCAATGGCGAAATTTTATGATATTTATTCAATAAAAAAGTAACTGGGTAATCCGAAATATTAGCACCACAGTAAGCAAATCGTTATTATAAAGTGCGATATAAATATAAACCGTTTTATATATATTATAATAATAAACTTCAGGGTATTAAAAATACCTTCTCTTAACTGGCCTATATACACTCGTCATGAGTACGTAAAACGTCGAAACGTGTGATTATAATGTTATTTTAAAAATCTTTTGTCCTCTCTTGTCAAATTGTCCATAACAATAGTTTGTTCACGATATTGCATTGTTCCGTAAACAAATGACGTCATTTGTCGAGATATGATTTAAATAAAATTGATAGATTTCATGTCAAGAAATCTTCTACCTCTGCTAGTTCTCTTGCTCGAGCTTGTTGATGAGCCCAACGTTCTTCTGCAAGCTTATCACTCATGCCCCATTTTTCATGATAGATACGTTGCTCACATGTTGGACATTTTTTACCCCCTGTAAGAGAGATATTCATAAGAGACATTCATAACTCATGAGATTAATGTGAAACTGCAACTGTTGGAAATTACCATGGAATGGAGGAGTCTTCATGAATGTCACAAGACACCGTAGGTGAAACAAATGTCCACAGTAAAGTCTTTCTACATGCATATTTGCAGTTTCGTTGGTCTCTGCATTTTCTGGGTTGGGTGGCAGACATGTTTGTCTGCATGACTGACAATGCTCTTGTGGTAAAGTCTTTACAGAACTAAATGACAAAGAAAAAACATTAGCTGACGACATTGGGTAAATTGTAAACATTGATCAATAAACATACTTTATGAGAAAAGAAATAACAACTTTCAAGGACGGTGTTGGAACAAAAGGAGATTGTGATTTTTTCTTCAGGTTCAGTGGTGGTTCTACACACTGTCTAGCTAATTCTTTTCCTTGGCCTATGAAGTGACGTGCAAATAATGGTGGAAAATTTGTATCTGCATCTTCCAACCTATGCATAAAACAATTATTAATAAGAAACACAAACTTTTTGATTATTTTTCGAGTCATCATTGATACATACTTTACGCAAGCAACTGGATAGTTATCTGGTACCTCAATTTTAGCTTTGAAATAATATAATCCTTTTTTAATCTTCAAATTGATACATGAATACTTCTGTTTCAATTTTAATTCATCGTCATGCTCCAAAATCTTTTTTATAGCTGAGATTTCATCATAACAACAAATCAATGGATTTTCATCAATGAAATTACGAATAAACTTCAATATTGGTAGCACCTATGGAATTAAAATTCATTTAGTAAATTCATAAATAAGAAAGCATTACACTTGATAGATTACCTGTGCTTTCCCTAACAGGTTCTTGCATTCCTTTTCACAAACTTCTGTTAGACCATCAAGTAATTTCACAGACAAAGTTTTGCTTTTTAATTCAATTAAAAGTGGAGTATAAGGATAGTCTTTTGAGAACTGAATGCACACGATAATAGTTTTGCACCTTGTTTTCCTACAATTTTTGTAAATAGTTGAATTAATTAAGAAATATAAAACATCATCTAGAATTAGTTTTCAGTTATCACAATCACTATTGAACTTACGTTATTTCCACTCGCACCATGGTGCGAACACAGGAAACAAGACGACTACCATCAACGACATTTTGACAAAGTTTTGATACCTCTTGTAATTCATCATCGATAAAGCCCATGAGAAAATTGAAACAAATGTTACTTCACAATCTAATAGCTCCTTCCAAGGCTTATTATCAGGTAGAATTGTACATCCAAAACCAGTAATGTAACAAACTAAATTTCGAAATAAGACTATATAGATAAATCGCCGCGTTAATTTGATTCCCAAAAATTAAAATTATGTCATACAACTGCTACCAAGGTCAGTGAAAGAACTTGTGCTTAGTTCACTCAATGTTTGGAAACATGAATCAACAACGTCGTTACATCCTCTTATGATGTAATACATCTTCAATAATTGAACGACAAGTGATCAAGAAATAAGATATTGATAAGTAAAATAACATAATTTTGTCAACAGTTTATTGTTCTTTATTTTTTGTAACAAAATATATCAAATAATTTTGATATATATAATGTTATACAATCATTGACTATAATTCTGTTGCATATACGGGTTATTTATCCTATAAAAAACAAAAAAAGAATATATGAAAGAAAATATTTCTTCAAAGAAATAATTTGGTCATTATAATTATTTAAATAAGAAACTTTATGATTGAATGATTGGAAGGTTAGTGTCCAATAGGATCATTTCTTCAACATCTAAATTACGCATCGATGGACAGTTCTAGTAACGTCATACTCTATGGTAGAAAACTAACCTAGTATAACGCACGTGTTTACGGGAAATTCAAACCTTGTTTCAAGAAGATACCATGTCAAAATGGAAGATTTGTATTAAAGGATCATGTTAAGACTCGAAATAACTACAGTTGGTTTTTAAATGTAGCAAAATCCTGACAAGAATGTCGCGAATTGCCGATACGAGGGAAGTGATTTTAACTAGTGACAGTAGCAGTGAACATTGGAGCGCGGCCGTGTGGGATCACCGAACAGGTTCTATTTTATCGACCTACAAATATGCTGGTGCTCTCAGTCACAGAAGTCTTCAACTCTTAAATGACAGTTATGTAGTGGGTGCGGATCTAACGAAGCCGCGTATATACGTTTGGCCTTTAAACAATCATACTCCCGTGTCTAACCTTCGATTGACAACGCCAGGAAAAGTCACTGCCTTGAGCTGCACGCCCAATGGCGCCTACATCGTCGCCGCCATTTCCGAAAAGCTATTTCTTTGGCAATTGTGCAACGGACGTTTGTTAAAGAATCTGTCGCAACATTACCAAACTGTGAGCTGTTTGTCGTTTAGCAAAGACAGCTCCATTTTCGCCAGTGGCGCCGAGGACGGATTAGTTTTTATATGGTCGTTGTATCGCGTATTGAACGATGAGCATCCTACGCCATTGCATGCCTTCTCTCATCACTCTTTGCCAGTAAAGGATCTACAATTCGGGCATGCCGGCGCGAAAGGAAGACTGTGCTCTGTATCTCTCGATCGAACATGCAACGTTTACGACCCAGGCTCTGGACTGCTATTGCTCACTCTTGTGTTCGACGTGCCGCTCAGTTCCGTTTCCATGAACACACGCGAAAGTGATTTATTCGTGGGCTGCACCAACGGTGACATATACCGATTCAATTTACACGAGCCGCCACGTGGAATAGAGCATCATGTGCAGGTACGGAACGACGGAAATTCAGAGGGCGTGATAGTTTTCCATGGGCACAAATCGAGCGTGGTGGCATTGTCGATATCGATAGATTGTCGATACCTGGTGTCAGGCTCGACCAGCGGCGAAGTTCACGTTTGGGACATAGCCAGTCATCAAATTCTTCGTACAATCGATCACAAAGGGCCAATCACCGCAGTATTCTTCGCAAAATACTACGACAATTTTCGGCCATATACCGACCTTAAACCACATTTGCGACTATGTAACTTACAGAGGATATCAGACGATACTGGAAAAGAGAGTTCCATCGAAGTGATTTCAAGGGATCGAAATATCACTGACGTTCTAAATTTTGACTCGTTCACGGAGAAAAATGTCGATATTACCGGATCGGAGGATCTAGCTGCCAGAAAACTTCTCGAAATGAAGGAAGAAATTGACAAACTGAAGAAAATCAATACCGCTATCTATCAATACAGTGTGAAACATATTTTGAATAAGTTAGATAAAGATTTAACTTAGACTTAAAGTTTTGTACATGTGAATTTCTATGTTAATTGTTAGATTATCAGGGAAAGTCTTTTTATGAAAATCGATCGGAATAAAGAGTAACCTGTTGCACGCTGTAAACAACAAAGTAAATTTTATTTGTCCCTTATCCCATCTATCCTCTGCGATTTAACAAGTGCAAAAAGTCGAGACGTATCTATTTCGCTTAAATCGAGTTTAAAAAATAAAAGTACAGACACTTTGTTAAAATGAATTTCAAAATAAGATAAGATGAATTAGAGAAAGGAATTTTTTTTGTATTTCATCTTCGAAATGCGCGCGCAACTTGGGTAAAGATTACAGCGCCAATGAAGCGGTAAAATTATGCAACTACATATCGCGATATATTCAATTATAATCGACATTTCCTGATCGATTTATAATGTTGAGATGTAACTGACCGTTAGAAGTAGCATTTATGCTGGGAAGCACAGCAAGAAGAAGCATCCTTTCGAAACTGTTAGGTAAATACGGCAAATCAATTGTTCTTGATTGAAATTTGTTTTAGATTTGTTTGATACATTTATTTGAAAGAGTTATTATCTATATTTAATATAGTCTAATAGTTAGAAGTGAATATATGTATGTATGTATTTTTATGTGATGAAATTTGAACATGTATCAATTAGTTTATGTGTGTATTTTTTGATTCGTTTCAAATACTACAATACATAGATATCAATGTACAAATGTATATAATACATGTGCTCATAATCAAAGTTTTGATTATTGAGGAGATCAGTTCAAATTCTCATCCCACCAAGTTAATTTGCGATATGAATGCAGCGTGGAATATTATATATTATTATATATTATATATATTATTATTATATATATATATATAGAATATTATATATTATATATTATTATTATATTATTATACTTCATCCAACATTTAATAACTGCATAATATTTTTATCGTTTTTTTTTTTCAACATTCTGCTATGCTACTATTAATTTCGTTTACTTAACGTATGTGTACAATTTTTTTTTTAACAATATTTATTTTTTTATACAATATTTAAAAGTTTTGGTTTTCCTTTATATAGATTATTGATTGACTACGAAGGGAAACTTTGGAACATTACAGTGACATCATCAAAATTAAAATCATCATCAATTAAAAGAACATTGAAAAGCACGCCCTGGTAATTAATGATAAATCTAATAGATTTTCATGCAGATCATAGCAAAATTTGATTTATTTTAATAATATCAGATTTTTTTCAAGACGGAACGCTATCATCAATCTATTTCCTTAGGTTTTTCAATCTTTTCTCTTCTTTCTGCTTCTGTCAAAGGCCAAGAATGTACGTATCTTTCATTGCTCAAACTTTTCAAATAAGCAACACTGTCATTCAGAATAAATTAGAATTTATGCTTTGTTATATATTTTTTCCAGCCCTCATGTTTCTCACGCAATTCGATGATTCCTATTTGACGACAGGCTTCACCACGACTTTCTTTAGACCATAATTACATTGGTGACAACGTTTTTTTGCATCTAATCGTGAGTCGCATGTATTTTTGTTCCTCTGGTCACTCAATCATGTCGTAGGATGAAAGGTCCGAATCGACACGGATGGCTGGTTGTATTATGTAGAATTCTTGACGAGCATAGTGACCGCGGGTATTTATTATGCCCGTGAGTAGTAATACTCTTTTGTTTGTGTTTAATTTATTAGTTCAGGATAGGTTTTCTTGCACATCGCGTTGTTAAATGTTAATAATCATACGTTAATGAATATAATATTGATATAATATTTTAATGCTAACGATAATAGACATTTATAATAACACGGAATTATTTTATTAGTTGCATGTAATTAATTTCATGTAATTTGGATGTGTTAAAGTTCAATTTTATTCGTACAAGAATTTATTTTTCACGTGCAAGGAGACACGTCGCGGCAGGCAGATTTCAGAATCAAAACAACAGTTTTTATTATTATCTTGTGTTTCTCAAACATGTGTTTTGATAAAGGAATCGCCTGAGGATATTTTTACTCATTGAGTTTTGTATTATTTTCATTGATTCTCATTCTCTTTTCTAATAAACATATCTCCCTATTAAGTTAAATTATAAAACAGAGTCAACAGAAATTGAAATAAAATGAGAGAATGTAATATCAAGGAGCATTAGCCCGCTAGATACAATTAAAACAAATATATTAATTTTTTTTAGTTTAGGATTTTCAGGTTTAATTCTTTCCATGTTCATTGTCTGAGTCTCACTCACGTTAGCAATTGACGATGCGTTAGTGTATCGTGCACGACGTATTTTCTACATAGTGTGTGTGTGTGTGTGTGTGTGTAGTTAGGCTACTATTCCAACGAACATAATTTTGATTAATAAATTTAACAAGTTTAATTGACAAACTTGCTGTCGATACGATCATGGTATATTTCTTATTATATTATCTCTTCAAAGATTATATATACACACGATTATGAATATTTATACAACGCAATCGTGAATATTCAGTTAAAATTGAAATATATACGTATTTTCATCGCATTTACGCAATGGTCATTAGCCATCGTCAGTTGATTTCAGGAAAATGGTACGTAAATTAGAGTGTGAAAGTTGAATGCGAAACTCGGGTGTCGGAGGCGTCTCGGGATATCCTCCCCAGTGTAGGTTTGCGTGTGTGAAAACTGTGGAGTAAGTGTGTTGGCATGTCTGTCCTTTGTCACATTTTTTAAATATAGGACGACTAGATAGGATAGCTAGCTTACTGTCTGGTATGTGTGTTTTAATTATAAGTAGGTGGGGCCGGGCAGGTTGGCACAATCTCTTCTCACGTGTCCAATCTGTTTCAAGGAATCCAATTTGAAAAATCGACGGCGAATCTGACACGAGCGAACGATTTCCCGCTCGTCTCTGATTTTATCCAGCGGTTTTTCGAATTTCGCGGTCGAAACGAAACGAAACGAAACGAAACGAGCCCAGACTTAAGTTTCAGCCGGCGGACCGCCGAAGAAAGAAGAGGCTATAAGCCGAAGAGGCCCGGCAAATTGCCGTAGAAGAGGGCAACTACTTAATGGCTTTCCATCTTCTAGACTATCCAGAACATGGGAAGTCATTCTCGTTACTACTTTGTCACTATGCTCGCTTTTGGTACACGTAGTACATGTTGTACAAGTATTTTTTTTCTTTTCTCGGCCGATGTATATGTCAGTCTATCATCGTTAAATCGCGATTTAAGCAACGTTTCCAGAAATTAATTACAACTAGAGTTGCGAATTTTGTGTCGTGAATTAGTTTGCTTTAGTGTTGCGAATTATAAGATAGAATTGTCAAAGAGAAAATATTCATATTCAAATTGCTTTAAATTAATTTTTTTTTTTTTTTTTTGCTAAAATTCAATCATAAAAAAAGTCGTGAATAATGTAAATCAAATATAAATAATTGTCATATGGATCATTGGGAATGATTAAAGAGAAAGAGACGAGTACGAAGGAACCGACGATTGTAGAATTTTATTAATTTTTTGACGTTTAAGTTTGTTTCAGGTAACATCATATAAATAATTAATGTTCGATATAAGGTCTCATTTCTTCCGTTTGTTTTATTAGGATTTTTCACAAACAGATGTTTGTGCAAGCAAAGAAATTAGATCAGTTTTTGAAGGGTGAATTTAATTTAACTTTTAGATTTTTACTTAGTAGATGTAGATTTTCGTGATAATCTTTTCTTGAATCTTCTTTTGCTGTTTGTTCTGATCAACGATGATTGAATATTTCATAAACGAATGTCAAAAGGAGGATTTGTTTTGTAGAAATTTTTGGATAAAAGAAGGGCTGAATGAAACCATGGACAAGGAGAGCCTTCATTCTTTAGCGTCAGGTTTATTGTGTGACTCAAAATTAGCAGATCTTTTTGGTATAAATGAAATGAATAGAGAAAGAATCACTCGATTCACTTCTTTGAAAAGTGAAAGACAGACAAAAAGTTTACACGTTCGTGGATTTGACATAAGGAGGACGATATTATCCGCGAAATTTATATTCTCACAACATCACAGAGATAAATCATCGTGCTATACAAGGGGGGCGGGAGGAAAGGGGAGTTTAAAAATTGTTCATGAAAAAAACATGGAAATAATAACGAAAAATTGGCATTGCTGTTATACTCTCTGTCACTGAGAAAAAACGTTTTACGAAAGTTATAACTTGTTCGCATAGCATGACGATAAAATGATTAACTCGTGATACAAATACATACGTTAAATGAAACGAAATCTAGTCATCGTTCTGTTTAATGGGTGGCAATATTTCAGTTATGATTGTTCCCAAAGAACTAATTTAAATCGGAAATTTGGCGTCAAACAACGAATTCACGGTGTTTACTGTAGTTTTCGCATTTAAATGGTAATTTATTTTTATCGCGGGCCTTTATGCGTAATTGTTAGTGAAATTTAAAAATCCATAAATGTGTTATCATTGTGAATAAATAGTTTTGTACAATTCATGCGCCGTTTACTTTGCAACAATCACTTCTCTCTTGAATATTTCACGGCTGTATTTTAACGCTGTGTTCATCGATCGGAAAAATAT